GGCACGACGAGAGTTGGGTGACCAGTCCTCCCCACCATCCTAGTCATCAGCCAGTCAAAGCGCAGTGTAAGTAGCTTGAGCTAAGTGCCACCAACAGCACCATCGCCATCACCGCACCACCGGAACCCTCAGCTAGTGACAGTGCCAGTGGTAGTGCTGTAGCCAGGGGGCACCGCTACCCACTACTAGCAGCATTACCAGTTGAGTGGAGCACGCACTGATTGCCAGTGAAATGCATGTGAAATTAACCTCGTGCGCTGTTCGCTTTAATTTGCACTCGATGGCTGGCTGGCTGGGCTGGCTGGAAAAAGTCGAAAAAAAACTTGTGGCCCGCCCTACACTCTCTCCCCCTCCCTGTAATGCATGCCAATGCAATGGATGCGACCCGTTTTTGCTGATGCCTCACGCCAGCCCAGCAACGGCAACGCTTGCCTTGCCCCAAATGTAATTTTCCCCTTTGCTCATTTGCTGCCTGACTGGCTGATGGCCTGAACGACAAAGACAGGGACAAGCGACGAGTCCCCGACGTACACTCTCACTTGCCCGCGGAGTCGCGGCGTCAAGTTGCGTGGTTTTGGCAAGCGTCGGATCCCAGGGAACGTTGAGGCAGCTGCAACTTGTCAAATGGCCTGTGCTGTGGTGCATACCAGAGAGAGAGAGAGAGAGAGAGAGAGAGAGAGAGAGAGAGCTCTGAGTAATAATTGCACTGGGATGAATAGTTTTCTCACAATCGAATAATGGTCACAGCACTGAAGGCTGGCAGGACTTTGGTGGCATATTTGGAATAAATATGCCTTACGGATTCTACAGAGAGCGAATTGGGTTCCAACTACACAGAATTTCTAAGGGTCCATGGCATTTCAATCAAATGTATTATCAGTAAATTTAAAGATACATAAAGGCAATAATCAGAGCCAAGCAATCAAATCGTTGGCTCTCGAATATATTCGAAAGTGCGGCTAATTTCCATATATGTACATAGCTAACTACAATTTCCCCTTCTTGATTCATTTCTCTCTTAAAAAGGTATAACAATTAAATTTGTTTTAATAATAAAATGAATGCCAAAAGGTATTTGTACATTATTTGATAATGTTGCAATAATGTGAGTATTAATTCATGCACCGAATACACCCGATTCAGGTGGATTTGAATGTAATTTGTACGACACTTAATTTTGCATTCACCGAGAGCCTTCTGCACTCTGCTCCTGTGGGCGCTGATAAGCCGCTTATCCTGGCCGCAGTTTTCTCACAATTTATGGCACGATGCCGTGGCATGCGGTTCATTTTGTTTTTGGTTTTAATGAATGCTTAATAAGCATTCGTCGTCGTATATGTATGCAATGGAATTTCGCATTAAAATTGATTTCATTCGCTGTGCAATTTACATTTCATCTTCGTCATAACACGCAGCCAGGCAGGGAATTTCGCGGGGGCCACTTATCCAAAACTCTCTGAACCACACACATACACACAAAGCATACCCCCACGCATAACGTACACGTGGACAGACTCTCTGCATAAACTATTCATTTCAGTTCAATAACAAAGCCGACCCAAGGCCCGAGACTGGCCATATGTGTGCATTCCAATGGGTTATTCTCCGCATTAACGAAATCAACATTTAAATTGCAAATTGTGTGTATTTTGATTGAAAAATGCCGCGCTGACGCACTCCCCCACATACAGACAGATACAAGAAGGAAAAACGAGGTAGAATGGCTTCACCGAAGACTTACATACCCTTGCAGATGGAATTCGCTTTTCAGTTAAAAACTTGTTCGAAAATATTCCAAATTTACGCTAAAAATAATCGACAAATATCATTTGAACTTCTTGATTCAGATTAGCCCATTGGCTTCTGAAACATTACAATTGGTTTTAGAAGACTGCAAACAGCTTATAAGAATCATAGAAAAAAATCCTCAAAAAGGGTATACAACAGCGATGCAACAAAGCTGCACATTTTGCGTTGGTCCTCGACAACGGGAGCTTGGTTTGATCCGGTTCGGACGGGAGGATTTGGTGGATTGGCTGCTGCTTGGACTCTGTCTCTGTCTGTCTGGACAGCTGCTGTCTTCGCACATTCGTCGCACATGCAATTTGCTGCTCTTTTGTGCAGTAAAAAAGAAAAATCAGCCGCCGCACAAACAACAATGAACATTTTCCAACGCATTAATGTGCAACATTTGAGGAGTGCTCGTACTCATCCACGTTCTGGAGCTGTGTTCTCTTCCTTTCTCTTTCAATGCGCCAAAGTGCAATAAAAATGCAAAAGCGAATTCGAATTCGAATTGATTGAACGGCAACACACACACACACACACACACGAACAGCCGTCACGTCACGCACAATGGGTTAAGGGAAAACAGGAGCCCAAAAAATGGGCTAAAAAAAATACGAGAAAATTATTCATTAACACATGCGTAAAATGCAAAAAGGAACATGGCCATAAATAAATAATTGATAAATTGCAGATGAATTTTCATATTTAATGATGTTTAAGTGAGTGGGTGGCTCAGAGTGGATCGGAAAGTGTAAAGTATTTGGATGGTTTGAGCTGTTGTGAAGTGTATTGTGGAGTGGTGCGAATGGAAATGCCCATTTTGTTCGCATCTGTGTGTGCAATAATATTATGTTAAAATATACGATTACAATTCGGTTGCTCCTTTTGCTCCCTATTCTTTTTTTTACGACTCAAGTTGCGTGTCCCCACATTCACAAACACACATTCACACACACACACACACACACACAGAGAGACACACACAACACACATTGGGAATGTCGCACAAGAGTGCGGATGAAAATTGATTGTTGCTTTATTTATGGCTTCGCACACTCGCAAAGTAGACATAAAAAATTAAGACAAACATAAAATGCAATCATGCAGCTCGGTCTGGATAAAAATCTAGAATTTGTGTAAGGCCGCACCACTCCACCCAGTCCATTTTGCCTGATTTGGTTTTACGTGCGCCAGGAGACGACACACCAAAAGCGGCACTAAGATTGCGATGCCTCCCAGTACAGGGGAGCTTGGGTGGGTCATGTAATAAAACGCATAAACCTTTGCCTCTAACGAGCATCGGTTTTTACGATCTAAAACGGTGTGAGGAGAGTTCGTCCCCGTTGCAGGTTTTTGTCTCCAAAAGTTTTCCCTTCAAATGTATGGTTAATGATTTTTTAGATTGAGTCTGAAGTTTGATTGCAAATAATGTGTACTCTGAAAAGGGTTGAAATATTGACAGTTCAGCCTGCCAATCGATCAGCTTAAGGATAATTAATTGCTGCCAACAAATAATTAAATCATTCGGTTAATTTATGGTTATTAATGAGCAACAAAACAAATCACAGTACACAGTTCAAAGAACGAAGAGACGAGAGTCAAAGCAATACCAAAAATAGATATTAACATGAGTAAATTTTGCCATGAAGCTGCAGTTTAGGCTTAGGCATGTATTTGTGTGTGTGAAGATGCTTTCATCTGTGACAAAACTCCAGGCCAGGGAGTAGGCATGGTAGAGAATTAATTAAGCAGAGTAAAGCAGCTCCAGCTCCAGCTCTATTGTTCGCCTCAACAGAGAGAGAGCGACAATATTCATCCATCTGCAAGTGCTGCAGTCCTGCAGTCCTGCAGCTTGATGGAATGCGTTGGGTCCGTACTGCAAAATATGTAATTAAACTTAATGAGTGTAAAATGCTTGTGTCCTGGCTCAGGATCCTCGTCTGTTCCGACTGCCGCATCGAATCAACTGCTGTCAGGGAAAATCAAGTCATTCATTTGTCAATTAGATGACAAGGGACTTGGGCCCGACTCTGGCTCGTCTCGTTCTTGAGCACAAAAACCAAAAGGCAGTGCGACAAATGCTGAACGTAATTGCATTTGAAATGTTATGAAGTAAAGTCAAGAGTTAACTCCGCCCACATTTTGTACTTTGGTGTAGCTGATGAAATGCATTTCATTAATATTTATTTGCCAGAGAGGAACAATACCCCAAAACCAGTTGCAGAAAATTACACTAAGGCCCGGTCTGGCGTTGTGGTCTTGGCAGGCGATTTGCGTGTTGTCTAATTCCCACTTTCATATTCCATAAATTCCCAGACTTTCCAAAGACAATGAAACCCAAATCAAAATCTAGAGCTAAATCGGTGCCGCCCTCTGCTCGGCAGTTGGCTCGTGAGCGTCGTGAACGGGAGGGCCGCTTGGCCATGGCAGCAGCTCGCCATGCCGGGTATCGCTATAGATCCGCAGACGTACAGCCCGAGGTTGAGGGAGCTATCTTCGATAACTATCAGGAGTTTGTGCTGGATGCCACACAGATGCGACGCATGCAACGCTACAAGCGCAGGGCGATACGTGAACAAATTGACCGTTGAGGGGCTTCTAATACTCACTTAAATATTACCGAAATTGTGGCAAATTTTCAATTAAAGCTTCAGCAGATATTTCGTTCATTACGTACGTAGACCCCACTCTTTGATTTGTACTCCCCGAAGCAGATGTGGCAGCATTCAGCATTGAAAATTTCGCATATTTTGTTGCTGCTTATTGTTATTCCGCTTTATGTACTGTGCCACTCGCCACTTGCCACCTGCCACTGCATTTGCCTGTGCCATGCGGTGGCCATTGTTTATTATCATTTTCGGTATGTGATTTGAGAATTTGCACAAATTTTCCACAAATATTATGGGATGTTTTTGTTGTTGTTGTTGCTGTTGCATTATTCTATTAAATGTGCACGGCCACAGTTTGTTTAACACTTGCGCGAGTTCGGAGTGAAGTGGGGGGCGGTGCTTTTGGGTAATATTTTGCGTACATTAACCTTAGCGGTCGATGCATTGTCAAAATAATTTTCAGAGTGGTTTTTGTGCAATTCGATTGCATTTTATTGATAGCGGGAGTGATTGGAACAGGAATTGATTGCTGGCCAGCAATAGTTTTGCGTAATTCCATAATGTATTCCATAGTTTTTCTGTCATTTATTTTTGTATGCAAAATAGTAGCAATTATTTCCATTTATATTTTTGAAAATTTGAACGTTTAGAGTATGGCTGAAAGGGCACTGCAAATGGTCTTCAAACCAATCATAACCTACGATATGGTGGTGCACCATTTACCCTACGCGAGGGATGATAAGATTCGATTGCCAGATGTCTGGGACGATGGCAAGGGCTTGCCAGGAGCGACTGTAAAATACGAAAAGAAATATACAGAGCAGGAAGATGGGCAAGTCGAAGTCAAGTCGGAAGTGATATCCGAAGTGGAGGCGGTTGTAGCGGAAACCGAAGTAAAGGAAGTGAAATATGCCTGGAACGCGCCTTGCCTGATGATTATTTTCGAGGATGGCGATCTCAATAGTGCACTTCACCATTTGGTTTGCTCTCTGCAGAATCCCTTTGCCCTGGATGCCGTTGCCACGGTCTTGGTGCAGGAGAACATTGTGGAGGAGCTCTGCAATCGCATTGTCGATCTTCTGCAGCCATTGGATCCCCGTGTGGCCAATCACCCAAACTATTTACGCACTCTCAGCAAATTGGCATTGCTAAAAGCAAAGATTGTGGTTGGAAATCCGGACAATGTGCCCGCCAATGCCTCGCCCATGATTGTACGCGACGTGCCCCACCATTATCTGGGCGTTGGTCCCACTGGCATCGTAACGATGCACATCTTCCGCACACCACTCGAGGCGACCCTCGTTTATCACAAGGAATCCCTGCCCATTGCCTCGGTTAGCATTTGGAACGAGCGAGTGTCCAGTATGTACGATTTGGTGGCCGTGATCAATGTCGATACATTCAAAATTAATTGCTTCGATGTGGACATGGAGCCCATCAAGCGCACCTTCGAGTGCCGTCGGCACAGTGCCCACATGAGCCGTGGCTATCACTACGAGTCCTTGCTGCTGAATGATCGGCGCAAGATTGTGATCTTTCCCGTGGGCTCTATTTATGCAAATTAAAAGTGTTTATTTAATAATAATATGTGGGATTCTCTGCAGTTAATATCTATCTCTTATTTATCGCTTTCCTAAATTCAATATAACTTTGGCTATTAGGCAAGTTTGCCCTCTCTCTGCACCTTTTGCTATCCCTTCTATCTAATGTATGCAATCTCATTCAAATTGCGGGGCGGGACCTTTCAACAACTACTTATTTACACACTCACACCCAAACACATCAAAGAGGGGAAGAGCCCGCACTTTTTCGTACGCTAATCTAAATTAATGCCTCTGACTGCGGATCAGAATAGGCAGTGTGGAACGATGTTTTATCATTCAATTAAAAAAAAGCAGCAGGAAAACGCGTGCATAGAAAATGCGCGAAACAAACCAGCGGATTTTCGCGTGAAATCCTCACTCACCTCCCGGTTCCGGAACGCATTGGTAAAACAATTTGCAGCAGAACAGCAACAGCTATCCCACACTCCACCCACCGACGAAATAATGAAGTGTTTAGTTGATTATCTGAACGCACGGGCCCGTATCCGGATCCCGGGGGTAACCAAGTCGGAATGCAAACAGTATACAGGAGGAATTGCTTGGCTTTTTCGGTAGGACGCTGGCAGGCAGTAGTTGGGGTCTTTAATGCGCAAATAAACAGCTAACAAGTTGGCAACAGCAGCAACAGCAAAAAAACACAATTCTAAAATGGCCGTAGGTCCGATTTGCCACATAGACTCGTGTGTGTGTTTGTCTGTGCAGTTGGCACAGGTACGTTACGGTACGGTACGGAACGGCATTGGGATTCAAAGTGAACAAAAGTTGAACAAAAGCACAGCTCGATGAAGGCTCCGGGGCGTGGCACGCATTGTCTGAAGGTAAGCCTTTTTGCTGTGCACGCTTTTAGGCCTCCAAACGGAACCAAACCCAGCCACGCATTTGCAATGATAACCGAAAATGTTACATTGAGCTGTGGAGAGTTTTGGCGTAGTGTTTGGTTTGGGGCTTCCGTGTACCAAGACCATATTTCACTGGTAAATCAAACAGACAACAGATGGACGTATAGATAGTTGGATAGGCGGTAGCAAAAGGAGTAGGAATAGGCATAGAAGTAGGCGTAGGCATAGGCTTATGCGTAATGGTATGCCACGATATTTACTGGATGTCTTAATTAAATTTGATTAGCTGTGTGCGCAAATTAGTTAGTTTTGCATGGGAATTGATGAGCGTGTTGAGTTTGCCGACTAATTGGCTAATTGATTGATTGTTGGAGTTGTTGCTTATTGTCTACCGCCTATCGCCTGCCCCCCCTCCGATGAAATGTTTGTCTAATTGCGCCTCAAATGCAGATTGAGGTGGAGGCAAAGGCACAGGAACAGGAACATACGCATAGAGTTTGTATTCTTTGTGTGCATTTCCTAATGAAAATCGAATGATTACCAGGGCCAAGTAACCCTCCGCACGACTCTTCAGGCCAGATCCCCTTCCACTGTGAGGTACATCAAAAATGCATAAGCCAAGGCTCTCTCTCGTTTGCTTTGTACTACTCAGGAATACTCTCTATTTATTTAATTTATTTAGCAGATAAAAAGGGATTCTTTTTTCTATACAAATCTATATACATAGCTACATTTTTAATGACAATTTCAGAGAATAGGTAAATGAACAGTGACTGTAAAAGGAAAATAAAAATTAAAAAAATGATCTACAGAAACTCAAGCGAATATAATGAATATAACTGCGCGTAGGTCTAGCTTAGGCTTCTATTGGTTTTTCGACAGAAAGTTTATTGTAGCAAATATTTGCATAATCGCACATCGTCTCCTCTCTTTATGCCCTTAAATGTTAGGGTATCTAAAGCTTCGTGCCTTAAAAGTTACCCATTTTTTTTTGCTTTTCAATTTGTGAGCGCATTATTTTCTGAACGCAGATTCCATTGCTGGGGTCCAGTACCCGAGTAACCCGCCTTAATGCATATCGAAATAACCTTGGTCCGAAATTCGCCCAAAAGAATAACTGTGCATTGTTTGCCAAGAAGAAGTTTCTGCCTTGGCCCTCCCTTTGGAATGGTTTGTTGGTTGGTTGGTTGTCAGGGTTCGCCCCCCAAGGGAGACGGCCATTGGTTGGGTAGGGTAGGAAAAGTGCTAAAGTTTCCACTGCGCGCATGAAATTTCCACTTTAGTTGTGTTTTCTAGTACATTTTTGTACTCGCCCTTGTTCCTTTTTCTGTTGTTTGTGTGTATGTTTGTGTGTGCGAATATTACCCCCATCCTATGTACTCGTACTTGAGATCTCCTCACCCCTCAATGGCGCGTGCTTATTTCAAGTAGTTGAAATTATTTTATAGTATAAAACTTTAGTTTTTTAACTTTGGCCTAGGCAAGGAGAGCTCTTGCTCTGGCACTGGCACTGGCTTCCTCTTTTTCTGTTGGGTTCTGCCTTGGTTTCGGACTGTTCTGGGCTCTGCTCTGACCATGGTCTGCCGCTGCCCTATGTTGCCTTTTGCTCTGCACCGTGTTGCTTTCTGTTTGTGCTGTTTTTTGCCTTCTTCATCCATTTGGCGTTCTCACGCGCTTTTTGTTTTAGCATATTTATATTTTAATAAGCATTCTGGCAGCTGCGCTCCAGCGCCTGCCGCTCCTACTCCTTCGATGCCTGGTGCTGTGCTCTGCTCTGTGTAATTTTACTGCAATTTCTGACAGTTTTAGAAGTCTTGCGCGAGCTGAACTTATAGACCCAAATGCGCTCCTCCTGTCAGCGGCGAATGGCAACGGGTTGGCAGACGGGGCAACGTGGCGTATGATTGTTATTAATTCCATATTATGTGTAAGAGCAGGGCATCCCCCGAACGCAATAAGCAATAAGCGTCAGATGAAATGATATTTAATGTCAGCTCCGGCCAAACGACTACTGACGGAAGGCACCGAGAGGTTCCCCACTGCCACTGGAGAAGGCGGCCATGAAGCGAGGGGCAAGAGTGCAGTGGAGTGGGCAGCACTTTGAGGTGCAGTTCAAGTGGTTCATTGAAGCACAAAAGTGTTTGAGATTGTAAGGAAGTGTTGAGGTTGAGAGTACCCGACCCGACCCATTTGCATAAAGTGCGGTTAATCTGAGGGATATTGTGGAGTGGAGCAGATACTCAGCACTCAGATACTCATACACTCCGGCTGATTTAATTAAAATTCAATTAAAAATGGTTGTTTAGTTAACGTTTAATAGGGAAAATCCATCAGCAGCAGGAGCAGCAGAGGCAACAACAGCAGCAGCAGCAGCAGCAGCCATGCTTCAATGACTTATTGTTTCCATTCTACTCGCCACAATTGTTAACCATTTTCACTTCAATACAAAGCGGCTGCTGTCCTGTCTGCTCATACACGTGGATTGTGTGTTTATGACAGTGTCTGTATGTGTATGTGTGTGTGTGTTGGCCATTGTGTTTGTAGCAAAATATAATCATAAACGAAATTTAATCGCGCCAAACTGCGTCTGTCACGTACTTGCCAGGCAACAGACAGCCAGCACACCACACACATCGATACGTGCTACACATTGTTGTAGTCCACAGATACACACATTATTGATGCTCACACAGATACACAAAGCCATACACACACCACACACGCACCTGCAATGTTGAAGCAACGCTGACAACACAGAAACAGTTATTATAATTCAATTCCATGCCATAATAGCATCGATTCAATGTAGTAAACACGTTTGCGAATCGTTTGCGACTTGCCACCAAATCTAATGATCACCTGCAAAGGCAAAGGAATTGATTTTGTTAGCACAAGTACGTCATACCACCCCTAGATATGATTTTTTATTGAATTAATTAGAAATGTTGCAAAAATGTTTCAAATTAGTTGGGGGAAAATGTTGCACAGAAATTAGCTCACAGCGCAGCAATGGGTTAATGTTTGAAATTAAATTAGTGTGTGTTTTAATGTTAATGAGAGAGAGCACTGTCTCCCACAAACTTTAATAATAGTCTGAAAGCATTCAGGCGACACTTTCAAGATGAATTTGCCACAGCCATGACTCAAATCATTTGCAGTCTGCCACTGCCTCTGCACCGTTCATTTACTCCTGCAGGAGGTTGTTTCTTTTGCTGCATCAGCGCTTCATCTTTTTTTGCTGAGATTTCTGTCAGACGCCAAATCAGCGGAAGAAGACTCGGCGTCTCCGCCTTTAATGCACCGAAGTCTGGATTCCCGTAGTCCGTAGCGAATCAGTCACGTGTGTGCGAAAAATCAAAACGATTTGTGACGGGCTGTCTGTCTATCTTGTACCTTAACTTACCCGCCTGCTACATGTTCCCCCGCTCTTGTGTCTAAGTCTTTTGTTTGCCATTTGCCGTGGCACGAGACGGAGGAGGAGGAGGCAGCAGCGTGAATGCGCGTAAATTAAGGCTGACAGGAGACGGCTTCGTCGTGGATGCCTTTGCCTGATTGATGCGCCTCGCGTATGCAGCGCTGCAACTTGCGCCACTTAGCCATAAGCCGCAGGATCCGCAGCGTTGCAGCAGCAGCAGCAGCGCCGCAGAAATCGGAGCCATTTCATGGCACACGCATGACAGCTGCCATGTGCTGTGCTGTGGCATCTGCCTCCTAAACCAGAAGGCTCCAGGAGAGGTGGGGAGTTGGGCTCCTAAATGCGTTGCGTGGCCGCTTTGTCCTTGTCACCTTTTTAGTTTTCGGTGTTGACAGGCGCCTGGCACTCGTACCAGCTACAGCTTCAGAGTGCATTTATCTCGATCTAGAATGCCTTTTGAATATCTTGCCATATTTTGTGTGTGTGTGTGTGTGTGTGTGTGTGTGTTCCGTTTCCGTTTCCTTTCAGCTCAGCAGGCACCAGTCAGCAGCTTAGTCGTGTGTGTCTGCGTGTCCTTGTGTGCGTATTTGTCAAAAGGATTTGGCAGTGATTTAGCTGCTGGCCCAAATTTCATACCAAATTCTATCTTCTCGCTGTTGGTGCCGCTGCTCTCGAGGCTTGGCTGACTGACAACGCTTCTGTCTCTAACTCTGCCTCCTTTGTTCCTCTCCCTCTCTCTCTCTCAGCATGACAGCAGACAGGATTAGGTCGCGTTCCAGCCTTTTCGGCCTGCCTGCCTGCCTGTCGTCCTGCCAGAGCCGCCTGAAAATTAGCTGCCTAATTGTTTGCCAAAGCCGCAACTTTGGCCATTTCTTCTGTGCTTTTGGCCAGAGTTGCCAGCGACAGCGACAGCTTCAGCGCGTTTGCTGCCGCCAAATGACAGCTGAATAATGTGCGCCCCATAAGCAATTAACGCGCCTGCGAGGCTTACACACGTACGTGTCTCTGGAGTGAGTGCGAGTGTGTGTGTCTCTCTGTATGCAAGCTTACAAATTGAGTCAATAATTTTGGTGGAGAATGCTTCCAGCTACGCGGCGGCATACGCGATGGCACTTTGTGCATAATAAATAAACGCCATGAAATACGCGACTTAACACGCAATGTACAGCAAAGTCATCGCATGTCTCTCTCTCATCTGTGTGTGCCTCTCTCTACATAGTGTATGTATGTATGTATGTATGTATGTATGGGTAAGCACCATATGACACCACCTTGACTCATTAATTACGCACTGGCATTTTTATTTTCATTGCATACTTTTATGCAATTTATTATTACAGCAATGCGTGGTAAGGAGGCATGGGGTGGGGAGCAGGGACACGCAGAAAAGTTGAAATACAAATTGCCTTTTTGTTTCATATACTTACGGAATACATACACTTGTGACTTATTTACGGCGGAAGGCAAAGAGAGAGAGAGAGAGAGGGAGCGGGCGACTGTGTGGCCAGCAGGACAAGCCACAAATGAAATGTATTCGGGATTTTTGAGCAGCTCTCCATCTTTACGCCGGCCAAGAGCCCGCCTGATTGCCAATGCCCTTTGGGCATATTCAGCACAGTGCGTTTCATGTGTGTAAGGCACAAATGAATATTTTGGAATAATTTAAGAATTTTTTGGGAAGTCAGTGGGAAATATTAATACAAATTGATACAAAAAAACTATTTATTGTTCTGTAAACTGTTTCCCCTTTGTTCATACACTTCCGTAACGCACTGTCTATCCATAATTGAGCACAAGAGCATTATTTTTACCTCTTTTTTTCCCCCACATGCATGTAGTAAATGCAATTGAAATTTCATCCCGAAACGTTCCTGCAGCACAGCGTTCGTATCCTTTAATCAAAGCGTAGCTAAACTTAATTTTGTCGTGGTCTGGAGTGGAATTTTGCTTTAATCTTAGCCCACAGATCGGCAGAGGGCAGTAACAGCAGCAGCAGAAGCAGCAGCACCAGTCCTACCGAAATTTCGAAATAAATATTCACTTTTTACTTTTACTTTACTTGTTGTTGTGGTTGCATTATCATTGTCGTGGTTGGGTGTTGGTGGTGGGGTGACAGTGCTGTGGGGCAACTGTATGTGGTCGAATATTCCCCAAAGAATCTGACGCACTTATCGCAAATTACTTTGGCAGTTGCAGCACACAGCCACAGCCACAGCCACTGCTACAGCGCTGCAACGTTTCTCTCTCTTTTGTATATAAATTTAACAATTTACCCATGCAGGGGCGGTCTGGCAGGGAGGGGAGGCAAAGGGATTGTAAATTACCATACAAAAACACACACACACACATGCAGAGAGCTACAGATACAGATACTTTTGAGACTAAATGTGTTCAAAAGAACGTACAATGTCCAGGGGTAGAACAGGATTTTGTGTAAAAGTTGTATGCCAGAACAAACAACTGGCAAACATTGCGTATGCATAATATTTCCTTCTTGCCACAGATGCATGTCCATGTTTCCACAGTTACAAACTTCATTAACAACCCAGCCGCAAATACCAATGGGCAAATGGCAGCCACCAGATGCCTCAGCGTCAGCATCACTGGTGGCAGTTGTCCCAATTAGCCGCGTAAGTTGCTGCCTTGCTGCACATTTTTAAAGCCAAACCAACCACTTGGTCCGAACTCTCGTCAATTAGCATTTGGTGTTTTTTTTTTTTTGGGCGTTTAATGTCCCTCCAGCTGTTGTGTTGTGATGTTACTGCACATAATTTATGGTTTGCCTCCGCGCTGGCTTCATAAGATGTTAACGCGCACTTAATGCCACTTAAAAATACGCATAAATCGCGAAGAGTGCCAGCCACGGTGCGGTACGGGAGGGGTGGGGAGGGGATTGGGATTGGCATTGGGAGAGGAGTTGCAGTTGCAACAACGGCAAACGGCAAACGGCAAGCGGCAAGCGGCAACTGTTACCCGACGGCCACTTGTCCACTTACATGGCTACTTACAACGCTGCTCAAGCATATGCATGCAGATGCAGATGACCATGTTCCACCGAGTGCCCTCGTACACTCATCATCAGGAAGAGCAGCAGCTGCAGCTGCAGCTGCAGAAAAACAAGGTCGAGCAGGGGGGACATCCGAGGGATACAAAAAAACACACAGCCAACACCAAATAAATAACAGGGAAGGAAAGCACAGAACTGGGAACCGAAGCTGCAGATACACTCTGGAAATTAAAGAGGAACTTTGTTGGATTTTATCTTTATCGTTCTCGCTTTTGATCTGTGCTAAGATTCCACCAGATAACTGACGAGCTTCCTTTTCCGATAATACCCTCTGAAAGTGTATAAAAACAGCAAAAATAAACTGCAACGGCAACTGCAACTGCGAATGCGACTGCGACTGCGGCACGCAATTAAGTGCATTTAATTAATTATTGTTGATAAAATAATATTTTTGCAATTTATTGTGCAAGCAGCAGTAGGGGTGGAGTGTGCGCGGGTTTTCCCATCAGGATATTTATGCATATGTGAGCGCAAATAAATAACGCAGACTGTGGCAGCACAAAAAAAAACCTGCGCTCGATACCCACTGCGTTGCTGCGTTGACGTTATCAGAGAGCTGGCAGTAACCGGCGGGCCACTGAGATATCGCTTCGGTGGCAGCAGCCAGCCAGCAGCAGCCTATCGTTAGGCCAAATCGCAACCGCAATGGCAGCAGCGACAGTGCAACGGCAGCAGCAATGCAGTGCAGTGCAGCGACAGAGACAGAGGCAGAGACTGCTGGCAGATCAATTCGAATAACAATAATTTCTTCCGGTCGAATGGCAACCAGCGCGGAGCAGACAGACAGACAGACAGACAGTCGGACAGACAGCGGCAGAGATGCAGATATGCGGCTGGGAATGTATATGCAACTGCCATGGCATTTGTGTGTATCTGTGGGTGTTCGTGTGTCTGCATTGTTTGCGTGCATTTCAAACCGGATGCGCATAAGTATACGAGGATTGACAGGATGTACGGGCCGTGCACTCGTGCATTTTGGTTGCCGCCTCTGCCCCGTGGGCGTTTCATTATGATTCCACCCAACACACACGTATGTCCAGACGGGACACCCTCGAACCCCGCCCCATTACTAATTTGTATTGTTTTTTCGCCAAGTTAATGAATTTCATATAATCGGAATTAATGTGGAAATTATATGCGTTGACATTGCGGCAGACAAAGAGAATCTCCGCCCGCTGTAGGGTCTGGATTTCCACCAGACTGAAATTGAGTTCATGTGACAGTTGCCTGACCCCCCACCCACCAGAACATATTCATCAAATTGTCAAAAGAATTTTTTCCCGATATCATCAAATTATTTAATCAAATGCATTTCCGAAACATTGACAATTGTAAATATTGTTGAGATCGAGAGGGACTCGGGGAACGGGTAGCGTGCTGCTTGGAACCCAACAATTTCGATAGAAGATTCGAGCATCCACAAGGACTTGCAGTTTTGTTGCTTAACAAGGACCGCAAGGACCATAGCCACAGGGTCCTGGCCCGCAGGGGCCACAGGGTCCGCATCTAGGTCCACAGGGGCCGCATCCTGGTCCGCAGGGTCCGCACGGACCACAGGGCCCACAGGGACCACAAGGGCCACAGCGGCCCTCGGCAATGGGATACTGGTTGGTGGAGAAGCACGGCAGGGGGCAGCATCCACCGCCCGGGGCACAGGGTCCAATGGGGCACGGCGGACAGGCGGCGCTCGGCTTGTAGTTGATGGGTCCATTGGGGTAGCAGCAGTACTCCCTCGGAGGAGGGATGTCGATCGTCTGCGGCTTCGGCTGGCAAAGGATCGACTGGCACACCTCCCTGGGCTCGCAGACCCGCTTCGGGTAGCAGACGACGTACGGGTCCGGTATCATCGACGGGTAGTAGATGACGCGTGGCTCCCGCACCATCTGCGAGACCCAAATCAGCTTCGGCACCTTGATGACTCGCGTGGCATCGACCACCTTGGGGATCGTGATCTGCCTGCATCGGTTAACGACCATCGGCTCTGGCACAATCTTCTCGGTGAAGACGACCCGCTTCTTGCAGATCATGCGAGGTGGCTGCTGCACGGTGATGCACTTGGGGAAGGGCGGCGGAATGCGCGGTGCACATTGCGGCAGGGCCTCCAGCTGTGCCGAGTTGTAGCACTTGGGGGAGCACTCGAAGGGCCCACAGCAGGGGTCGCAGGGTCCACATCCCGGTCCGCAAGGAGAACACATTTTGTCAAATCAACAAATTTCAAACAATTTCGAAAAAAAGAGACGATTCAAATTTTTATTTTATTTTGCTTCTAAATTTTGTAATAAAATTTTGATACTTGTCGAAGCGAAACTGAAAATGAAATGAGATGTGGCTGTCTATACCTCGGCCAGTAGCGTGTGACTGGAATGTTGAAGCCTACTTGATGCGGAATAAAATGATTTTTGGACTAGAAAAAGTAAAATTTAACAGATACAAAATAATTTTGGGTCTATAATGTCTTTAATGTGTATCAGTAGTCATGTTTCCGTGTGGATATATTCGGAGTATCAAATAATTTTCACTCTAGAGAGTTTATTCCCTCTTTCCAGAGAACCCGAAGAATTTCCAATTAATTAGTATTATTATATTGCATCAAAATTAAATTGATTTCTCACTCTCTGTCGTTGGGGGATATCACTTAACCTTACAATTACCACCACAGTAATATAAATAGCAGCCCAAAATTATAGATTAACAAGCTTGTCAGTCCACGGCCCGTGGCTCAGGCTCATTTCAAAGAGGTTTTCCCTCTGTACAATTGCACTTTTGGCAGCCCTTCAGTGGGTATTGTAATTTTCTAATTTGTAAAGCCGTCTTGCTGTGTGACAGCTAATTGAAATTTAACTTGATCGTAGCTGCAGAGTAAATGGCAAACCATTTTTGTTTATTATTAATTTGCATTTTGATTGGAATTTTGACATTGTCAATGGAGGCTGACAGCCACCGAAGAGACATGTGAAATAAACAATATTATATTACATTCGAAATTAAGCTTGAGTTGCCAGAACCGACACTAACTGACGGATGGATGGATGGATGGATGGTTGGACTGCTGCTGCTGCCTCGGCTGATTGCTTGACTGACTGGCAGTTGCTTTGGGCGATTTGTTTTACATTAACATTACAACATTTCGCAAAGCATTTATTTTTAATAAATATTTTGCCGAGAGGCAGAGCGCTTCGCTGGTTATTGTTTTTGTCAGCGTTCAAAAACAAGACAATAAATTGTTTGCAATAATTGATTAATGAGAGCGGATAGGATGGGCGGGCCTTGTGGCTCTTCCTAGGAAGAGTATCTGCCCCCTGGATGCTTATCATTGGCAGGCGACGGCGCTGGAGGCGGCATCGGCATCAGCTTCAGCTTCAGCTCCAGCCAGCGGTGAAGGGTCATGGGTAGTGGTTTTGCCATTTAGTTGGTTGGGCAGAGGAAAGCAGCAGCAGCAGCAGCAGCAGCAGCCTTGACGAATATAATTAACATTACCAACAAACTGGAAACTGGATTCGTGGAAAGCGGGAAGGAAACTTGGGCGGAACGGCACCCTAGGCTTCCCGTTGCGCTGCTTTCTGTTCAGTTCTGTGCCGCTGAACTAATTTAA